CCTTATGGAATGGAACCTTCAGTCCTCAAAATAAACCAAACAGAAATGTGAGTGATTTTGCAATATCAAACTTGAATGTTGGGGATTTTATTGAGTTTCTGTACACCCTTTAACACTTTCTCAGAACTGAATCTAATACCTAATCCAGTTGTTTCCAACCCAGTCCTCAAAGCATACCAGGAGTCTGGTGTCATGCCAAGGGTGCAAAATTCATTGTTGCACAATAGAATATTGCCATTTAATGTAATTTATGTCGTGCATATATGAATTGGCCACTTGGTTGCAAGGTCAGATGACAGAAGGGATAATGTAAATGGTATAGGAATGTGAAGGGGGGGGGGCAGATGGTTTGCAACATGGATGGATCCTTTGATTAATCAAAGGCTCTGCAGGGTGTGAGATTTTACACTTGAGATGCCCTGAATGTCTAGTTCCGATGTAAACTAGCCATATGGCCTCTGCCTCATAATTGATGATTTAATTTCTTTGAAATGTTAATGACCATTAGCCTTGTGTTCAAGTATCATATCCAAAAGAAACACTAATATGTACCCACAGAATAATAATTAAGCCTCATTTTTATTATATTTTGAATGGGACAAGCACCATCTTCCAAACATGATTGGCATACCTTAACCATGTGGGAAGGGTTTGGGATGTCTGCTATATTGGGTCACAAGTAAGAAGTGTGACATATCTATGGAATGGAGAAACGGTAACAAATTCATAGATGCAAATATTATTTCTGGGGGCCGGGGGGTGATCCTGGCCCAAAAGTCGGAACTTTAGAAGCTGGAGGTGGAAGCTCACCAAGAACACGGTGCCTCCCTATACAGAGATAAAATGGCCAACGGGCAAACCACATACACGCAGCAGAGATCCATGCTGGGACACCACGGTCCCTGGGGTGGCTGGACCCGCGACTGGACCCTTCCGGGGAGCGGACAGGTCGACAAGGAGACGGCCCTGATTCCCGGATTTGGCAGTGGTCCGGGAGAAAATGCCCCCCATTCTGTGAGCCCGGTGGAGCTGCGATGCGCGGGCACACCGGTGACCGGGGGGCACGTGCCGGCGTCATCTAAGAGTCTGGAGGCGGGAGAGGCAAGACGGGGCCGGAGGTCCAGGGAGGCCCTGAGGCTGGGGAGGTGCAGGAGACTGAGACCCTTCAGACTCTATGGGGGGGAGACCGCCGGACAGCTCCGGAGTGCCCACGGCGAGGTAGAACTCCCTAAAAGACACAGAAGCATTCCTTGGGGGTATAGAGGGAGCTCAGTCACAACTAGGGGAACCGGGGGAGACCCAGAGGGGCACAGCTGACTCACCATGTGCACGCTTGCCCTGCAGCAACCATGGTGAGGACACACCAGAGAGAAGCCTGAAGAAATACCACCATGGGAGATGACAAGTCCACAATAGACCATATCACCACACAGGGCGCCATTACGCCCCCTCCAGAGAAGTGACTCAAGTTCTAAATCTTGAATGGGTTTTGCCGGAGCTAGACATACTACGGTTTCTCTTTGCAAAGGTCCATGAACATCATACATAATTTGCTTATTGCTATACCCTAAATCATTTATTGCACAATTTCTGTTCTCTTTTTATTTTTCTTAAAATGCTTAACTCCAGGCAACAATGACCTAAGATTGTGAATGCATTGTGTGCTGAATACCTACGGGTTTAAACTCAGGCATAAAAACAATGGCACCTGCCAAGTTAAACTATACATAAAGCAAATTCCGCATCTTTCAAAGCCTTTTTATGTTGGTGTAGATATCACAATTGCTAAATATTTAAAGATTGAACCTGCGAAAAACTTTAGTACAGTACTTACTTGTATGACTGTCTAGACCTGTAGTTAAAGACTAGGTGCCTTATCTTAAATTTAGCAATTCAGTCAGAAATGCACTGTTTCATTATTATTTTATTAAGCAATCTATACATAGTTCGAAAAAAAAAAATTAACATGCCATTTACGTTACAGCGCTCCCTAGGGCAAAAGCATAATGCCATTTATTACTGCTGACTTGATAGCCAGATGGATGCAACATACAGTGTATGTTAACATGCCTACATTTTAACTTAGAAATGAATATGCTCACTGAGTTCTACAGAATATACGTTAACTCTCCCACAGTCAGGGAAGACGCTTACAGTGCATGTCCACACGTAGCCACACCGGCACATGTGAAAAGCTATGATATCCTTAAGGGCTAAAGTTCACAGACAAGTGACGTGACACATCACACGCAAGGCTACATGACATTAGTGCTACACTGCTTAAAACCGCTGGCTCAACGACTGGCTCATATGCCCAGATTACCTAAGGTCACGCAGTAAGAGGGCCTATACCACATCAGTTCATGTCGCATACCTAGCGGCAAAATATGCGAGACGCACCTTAATGAAAGCACCCATTAACGAACCACACTAGTAACATTGACCGAGTTGCTGGCTGAATACACGTTACTAATTGCCACTACTATATTGGTACATACCTGACAACAACGCCCTAACAATACCAAGCAGGTTTAACGCCTCTTGTATGTCTAGCTTTGCAAGGCCTATGAATACCCAATATTTGTCATTGCTTGTTTATTTTGACTTCTATGCCTCTGCGCAGGCAACCATATCTTATTCTGAGCTAACCGAAATATGTCGGCCTCACGTTGTCTACACTTTCAATATGCACGCCTCTGCGTAGGCGACTATCTGCGTCAATAATACTATGTTCAACACCCGCGTTTATATTGATGACAATAAACATATTTAAAACAAATTATTTCTGTGGCAAGTACAATACAGGAGATAGAAAAAAAAGTTTATTTTTGGATTGATGTGGGTCTGGAACACAAGGGGGTTGTCACTTATTGTCTCTGTAGATATACCTTAAATTCACCTCTAGGCCAGGCTTGGTAATCCACAGGGTATATATCCAATGATACTAAAATGTGTATTGGACTTACTTGGGGACCAGAATCTAATTCTGAGTGAGTCACCATCTTTCTTACCAGAGACCCCCCTGGGAAGCAGTTTTACTTTGAAAACCTGAGTAAGTGATTAGGACTTCTGTTATTTTATCTTTTTTTTTTTTAAATCTGTTGTTGGTGTAAATAATGTGTTTATCATCTATTTTTCGATCATAATAAATATTCCTTTATTAAGTTCTGCCTTTGTCTGGTTAAAGAATCACGTTACCTGAAGAGACTAATTAGTGTTTTGCAATTGCTTAAATATTGTGCTTAGTTGTATTTGGTGTATTTTTTTTTTTTTATTAAGTTACCTGGGGGACCAAGGCACCCCATTTATGAATGGTCTTGGTGGTGGTGGCAGCATTAAAATAGTAATATTTATATTATTATGCTTAAGTGTGGGTGGTGTTGAGTGGGATTTTATCATTATCTCCGGTCTAGTGCAGACAAATAGTGAAATGTAACCCTTTCACCACCACTACTACATCACACACACTCTTGAAGTAGGGTGCGTTTGTGACATCCAGGATTTATGATTTTCCCAAATCTTTTCCAGAGGAGGTAACTGAGAAAACAAAGACCATTTGTGTGCCTTGAGGAATGAATATTGAACAAGTGACCTAGTATGTTGGGATGGTCTAAATGGCAGGACATATGCCCATCTGTACATCTCAACCAATGACATTAAGGGCACTCATAACTCCCAACATTGGGGAGTATGAGATCGGGACAATGATGTGGGTAAGCCCTGTGGGGCTGTTGCTAGTTACACGGCTTGTGTCACTTTTCACGCTTATAATGGGCAAGCAGTCATAGAAAAGTGGTGGCCCTCACACTAACTGAGCCTGTATGCATAATCCCCAACAAACAGGAACTTGCAGAGAAGAGTGCTCTCCGAAGGATCCTAGATCCTGTTGACAGCACAAGCTAATCTAATGATGTGCTGGCACTGTGTTGCCCGTGGAGTGTTCTCTGGTGTCACCAGTTGAGAGACACAAGGAAACTAAATCTGGATTGGATAGGACCACAAAAGCAGGACTGTTGGTAGGCCTGGGCACTGCACTATACAAATAGAGGTTGGGTTTCTTTTCCAACATGCATGACAGGGTTCAATGCCGAATGCCTCAACAGTCCTGCTATTTATAAGTATGAAAATAAAAAAGTGCTAAACTGTTCTTATGAGAATTCTTATAAGTAGGTAATGTCTTCCCATTGGAAAAGAAGGCACAGGCCTGTGCCACCCATATGCTGTGAAATCTGGATATTAAAAACTACACCAGAAAGTAAAAATAGCAACCACTGATCTGTTTCATAGTTCTCATAACTTTTTTCCCCCAAGGGCTCTAACTGGATGCTGGCAGATGAACAGGTATTCAGAGGTTCTGGCAATACTTCTCCTCTGTACCCAGTGAGTACTGTCCGAAGCTGTCCAGACCCAGACAGACGTTACTATAGTACTCCAAGTCAACCAGTGCACACCATGATGTTCAGTAACAGTCTTGGCAGAAGGACAGAACGGAGTGCTAGGCAGGTAATGAAAAGCCAGCTGACTGCCATTCTTATTTTATTATGGTCATACTGCATATGTAAGACACACATGTACTACCAGTCTGCAAGGTGTATTGCCAGTTTAATGTTATTGGTTTCATGCAGTATGAAAAAACAACTGTACCAAATTAATTGCTATCACATAATTAATACAGATTAAATTTCTACCCCTGATATAACTCCAATACATTTTGGGTAGGTATATCAAACCAATGTGGACCATAACTACTAACAAAGAACTAGTAAAACGGTACCAACCTAATGTATTTATCTGTGTATTTTCTTTAGGTTGGCCCGTATGAATTAGATGTTATATACATCTGAATGCTGATGACTATCCTTTATCTGGTAAGTTCATGTGTTTTTGTTTATGTGCAGTTAAGCTAGTATGGTTATTTTGTCTATAGTAAGGTAAGATACTGCAATGCAAAAGAGGTATAAAAATATTTTCTAACATACATATACCTTTTATTTGTATACCAGAATGTTAATTATATTCACCATGAAATGCAGTCTGCTCAAGTATTAGACAAAATCCAGGTCATCGTAATCAATTTTTACCGTTTGTGATTAACAAAAGTATTTGTATTTTTCTAGGGTCATTTATGCTCCAAGGATTTGCGTACTAGTATTACGGTTTGGTGACTTTTCGATGTGTACAAGGTACATGGACATGATGTAACTCAAGTTGATTACATTCACACTGACTGTGTTGGGTAGCAATTACAGCGGTAGCTAAATTATACAGCTAATCCCCATTACTACTCCATATGTATAATTATCACAGTCAATTTTCCTTTAGCATGAACACTAGCCATGATTTAAGGACTACCGATTGTGCTACATGGTCATCATCCAGGAATGTTTTTATGCTTGCAAAGATCTATGGACATCCATTTTATCTTATTTTTTTTTTACAAAATTATATAGATAACATGCAGGCACAAACCATGTTGGTACTTGTATGTGGATTTAATGTGGCATTTATGCATATGTGGTCTTATTGCGACAATAATAAGCTGCAGAACGATGAAAGACAAGGACTAAAACATATTGGAGTGAGAAGATGCCTGCAGTACAAGCTGTGATAGATCATTACCAGGCAGGATACTGGATGCTCACTGTGTGTTGCCAACATCAGTTAGTCATCAACTCCAATGGATTTTCAATCATGCACTAAACATGACAATTGTTTACATTAATCCATTAAATTGCCTTTACCGATCTAAAATGGGACAAAAAAAACAACTGCAATTTCTCCATTGGTAACAGATGTAAATACTCTCAAATTCGTCAACAATCTGCACTTCATCATGGTTTTTTTCAATCCAGATTTATTGTGCCACCCTACAGAGCCAAATGTGTCACTGTTTATACAGCTTTAAGACTGATCTATACATAGTTACATTAAATTACAAAAATAATGTGAGCAATATATGAAGCTTCTTTCCACAGATAGGGCAAACAGATAAGATGAAATGTAAATAAGTTTATGTAAATCGGTTCTGCACTACAGTAATAAATTGCAGTGTTAACTAACAGTTCAAGCCTTTAGCCATATGCAAGCTTTATCGATATCTTGATCTTGTGGTAGTAAGGTTCTTGCCATTTATTTACATTTCTGCCCAGGTTTGCACATTCCTCTGCTGCACTCAATCTAATACAGCACAGTCATGCTTGTAATAAAATCTCAGTGGGGTTTATGTATAAAAATTGTCACGCCTGCTTTCACATTTGTGCCAGCGTTGTGCAAAATGCTCCATTTTATTATCAAGAAAACGGTTACTCCACCTACTCAAAAAAAAAAAAAAAAAAAATTCCCACTTTTTATTCCACTTTTGTATTTTTGATGCTTTTATCATAGATTACATTCATGAAAAGAGACAAATGAGTGATCTTAGGCAAAAAAAACAAACACACACTAAACGGGGCATTTACAATTTAAAGGACTATTCTATAGCCTCACCCTCCTTTATAATCCATGAGTGATCAATTTCTTTGCCAGAAGCCACTGGCCACACATTTAATGCAGATGTTCTAAAATGTCAACTCACTGCCTTTTCCAAATGCTAAAGGAAGTTTCACTGAGATACCATTCATAAAGTCAGGGAGGGGAGAATACTTAATGAGCACCACCATTGCACGCTGTGTAAGCACTACATAGGTTAAGAATAATAAAGGCATTTAAATTGGTATGGTAATCTTTGTTAGAAATATTCCATTTAACTGTAATTACTGTATGTGAGCAGTTAGCTGAAATGCAGACATTTTTCATTCTGTTGCCATTATCAGTAAGCTGTATTGCTAGTAATACATTAAGGGTTTTTACAAATACATAATACTTATTTATCTATTTTGTCACACCTATGTACACTCAAAACATCAATAAAAAAATATATTTTTTACATTCATCAGAAAACAAAATGTGGACTGATTGAGATGTTACCATTTTATTTTGAACACAAGCGCATTTATAAACAGTACTGGTTAAATTTCTATATGAAGCAAAGGACAAATATGAAAACACAATACTGACTGAATTAATTTGTCTTTTGCCTTCACCACTTTTTAAATTAATGCATTTCCACTGACTCACTTTTGCTTACCCATCACCCATTCCATCATGGTTAGCATGAACCTATATTTTCACTATCTCAACAATTTCCACATGTTTTAAAAAGATATGTTGCAGATAAAATTGATGTTGACAAATAATGTTATTCACTATGGCAAGAATTTCTAATTTAAGGCAAAATGAGCTAAAATTGAAGCATAGCTCAGAGAATTTTTTAAGTTCTTTATTTTGTTGCAGAAGATCGAAAGCAGATGTTATACAATTATACACCTGTTCAGTTTAATTAGTATCCACTTCACTGCCTCACACGTATTTTGAAGCTTGAGCAACATGCTAATCACATAAAAACGAGAAGCAAGAAGGGGGATGGGAGGGAAAGGGGTTAAAGTAACTCCCACTGCGGATTTTCCCAAAGGAAGCATCTGTTTCCCAAGTATCTCGTTAGGGCATCTGCCATTTTAGAAAAAGATTTCATGGAATGCATGATCTGTGCAGTGAGTTTGTCCTTTTAGTTCTCATTTTTACTTTTTATCAATACACCAATCGAGGGAGTCCCCTTTCTTCTCTATTGTTGATTCAGAGCCCGTCTGGCTGCCAGTATTAACTTGTTAAATAATTTGTGGATACAAGTGGGCATTCCCTCTACTGATATGGATAGCAGGAAGTACCATGGTTCTACCTCTTAGTCTCTGAAGTACAATAGCAATTAAATCTCAGATTCGTTCCCAAACCTCACAACCTTGGGGCAGGTCCACCACATATGGCGATATGACTCTCTCTGCAACCCTTCCAAGATAAGTGGAACAATTTGAATTGTGTGGGTACCACCTGAAGATTGTCTTGTAGACCTGCTCCTGTAAATTGACACGAGAGAAGGCATTCTCCCAGTCTGGCTATTATGACCTTAAATTTGAAATTCTCTTTGAATTCTCACCTTAGTGAATGACGCTGTAAGGCAACAAAAAAGATAGAAATGCAATCCAAAAAACACCATAAATTGACTACTTAAAAAAAATAAAAAATATGGAAAAGTTTAACTTTGATGACATAACACAAATGTAATTTTTTTTTTTTTTAGCTTGCATTATAACTTTCTTCAAAAACACAAACATTAGCACCTGCCATGTCTTTGTACACATGGCATGCATAACATCCACATTTTACCTTTTAATTTAATAATATAATTTGCTTTTTTTTTTTGAAAAAATAAAAATAGTTGAATCAAATTTCAGTAAATTAATAAAATGCAAACAAGGCAACTTCATGTATATATTGCATTAGCAAAAGCCAGGGTAAATACTAAAAAGATAAAGATTGCCAACTGGTCCGATGTAGGAGAATGAATTCACACACCTGCACATACATTAGATACCACATGCATGCATTCTGAGATTGAGACATAAGAATTCTGTGATCCATGCACACACCACTGACCACAAGAACTATAGATTACACCTCAATGTCAAAGAAGTAAATGGATAAGTTCAAAACTTGAAATAAAATTATTTGCATGTGGTTTGGCAACTGCAATATATAGATTGTAAGCTCTCTTCACATACTGTTCTTATATGTGAAATGTAGGTTATCATTTTTTTGTCTTTGTTTACCTAATGTGCTGCAACATGTTGGCGCTATATATTCACAGTAATGCGAAATTTTATGGTATATAAACTTCCACCATATCATATAATTATTAACAGGACAATTTGCAATGCAGAAAAAAAAAATGCAAAGAGGAGCATGTTCATTTATTTATCGGCACAATACGTTTAGTGTTAACTGACCTTTCATAAAGAAAAAAAAAAATCTATATATTCAAAACAATATTTTAAACTTGTATGTATGCTTTATATACTTTTTTTTTATCTCTATAGTTTTTGGTAGCACTAGGCATTGTGCAAGTCCAACATTTGCATAGAGAGCGGGAGAATCACAGCTCAATTTCAAGAACTACCACCATGGTGATAAAACAATTTTCATTTGTGGGTTTAAATGGAGTTTAAAAAGTACTGTAAGGTTCTTCTGTCTGCTATCTCGCAGTTTAACAAAACAAAAAACACACACAGTCTCTCAAAAAAATGCATCAATGACCTCAATCAATAGACTCGGTCATTCCCTTTGCAACAATGTAGTCAGATAATATTTTATTATATATTTTACTAGCAGACACCAGGAGCAGAGAACTAAAGACAATTATTCTGTATAAGAAAACATTTGAAGATGTTATTTCATTAAAGCAAAATATACTGTCCTAAAAGCTATTTGATGATAATTTAGACTGTGCTTACAAACATTTTCTTGGTAGTGAACCTTCAAAGCCATGAGTTAGTAAAAGGTATATTGTCCAGAATCCAAATCTGCACACACAGAGACCCTCACTGCCAAAGCAAGTGCGGCAGAAATGCAGATATTTTGCAGAGGAAGCCACTTATGGAGAATATGTGATCTGAACATAAAGGCTGATAAGTTAGGAGGTATTAAAGCCTGCGCTCTTTAATAGTGCTAGGGAGCCTCATCACTCCAGCCTTTCATCTCCCTCTTCCACCTCCTTCAAGCTGAGCACTTCCAGGGTGCCTTTTCCTTTAGTCTCACAGCGGATGAGTTCATCAATATCTCGGAAGCAGCCAGGGTCAATTAAACATATCTGAAATGATATAGATGAGATTTTTTTTTTTTTCCTTCTTATAAAATAATAATCTGCAAATTCAACAATCAGAAACCATGTGTGGACCAGGCGCAACATCATTAATTAAAAATACAAAAGCAAAAAAAAGAATAAAAAATAAAAAAACAAAAAGAACACATATGCAATATATTTAGCTTTGGATTATATTCTCTTTATACAGGGGTGTTGCAAAGTTCCAGAAAAGCCTGGGGCTTCAGCCCGATATAAAATTTGAAAATGCCATCATGAACAGAAGAGGGGATCTATCATTCACATACTGTTTTTATATGTCAAATGTGTGCTGTTAGAATTATTTGCCTTGGTTAATATAAACTATAAATATTTAAATTGTTATAAGATTTCCATGTTATGACAGCTGAAGCAGACTGCAGACTTTGTCCACCAAAATGTCTCAAATTCTGAAAAACAGCAAGCATCAGTCCTATATAGGCATGCTTCAGACAGCAATGCTCGCTTAAAAAAAAGTCTACGCCTGAACTTACATGCACAAGGTAAAAGTACAAAGGGAAAGAAGGGATATTGATAAAGAGGCAAGTATAAATAAACAAAATAAATAAGTCCTAAATAGGCATGCTCCAGACAACTATGCACGCTTTAAAAAAAAAAAAAAAAGCCTATCCCTGAAATATCTTACACGCACAAGGTAAGAGTACTAAGGGAAACAAGGGGTATTTAAAAAGTGGACGGGGTCTGACAGCCGACCAAGCTGGACGCATGGGACTAAAGCTCCTCAGGAAATACAGCTAAAAATGCGAATTTCAGAGTGCAATATTCGCACTAATCTTACTTAACCCCTGAGGGAACACTGCCAATTGTCTGACCAACTTCTGCCTAGTTCCTGCGGGCATTCATCGTGACAAATGATCCTGCGGCCTGCTGTTATACTGGAGGCGGGGGATGCGGCTGATCCTGCCCTGTTGTGCCAAAAACCCTATGCCCAAGCTCCCCACCCCCCCAACCCTCCTCTTGGACCGGTGGGGGATATCCTGGTCACCCCTGAAGTGCTTGTGAAGCCTTAACGGCTACACACTGAAGTATCAGGCGAATATGGGGACCAAGGCCTGCCTTTTAAGATGGCCGCCGTGCTTGAGCCTACAGCTTCTGAGGCCTCCTCACAGCAGCCCTCCAGTGTGGATCCGCCTCTCCAAAAGTTAGACCAGCTGTGGGAACGGTTCTCGGAGACTATGTAGCCACGTGCTTGCTCAACTTCTCATAGGTTGGGCCGAGGTATCACAGGTTCCGACTGCCCTACGGTGCAGCAAAGTGAGACCTCATTTGGATATCCCCCGCATGGTGTTGCGGAGCAGGAGATGCAAGTGGAGACCTCGACCGGTGACTTGGTCCCGGCGACCTAACTCTCAAGCTGGCACATACCTACCCGAGCGGCGTGATGCACGAGGAACCTCCTCACGGTATGACCTCCAAGGGCAGCGAGCATTGATGTCTCTCCCAGTAAGCTTACCAGTCACAGCAATGGGGATCAGACCTGTTCAGACCACAGGAAGCATTGTCCGGACGCGTGTGGTGGCTGAAGTCCAGTGGGGCATCCAGTTCATCTTGTATGGACTCAAGTACAACAAAGACATCCCTCCCTTTAAGGGCATCGGCTGAACAGGCTATGCTCCTCATATACAGCACAATATATGTTACTATATGATTGCTAGAGTTTGATCTCCTGTCTTGCAGTTAACCTTTTTAAGCACAAAATATGCTGTGGTCTGGACTCTCAGCTCTTATGCCCTAATTGATCCTGATCACACAGTGGTTTTCACCTCTTGTACACACAGTTCTATTCTACAGCATGTTGCACCCTTTGTTTGTTTACTATGATGGAACTGTTTCTCATGTATTTATTTTTTTTAAATTTTTTAACCCCTTAAAACCGGAGGACGTACAATTACGCCCTCTAATAGGCGGCTCTAAACGCCGCCGGGCGTAATTGTACGCCCTCCGGTTTTTGTTAACTTACCCGGTCGCCGGCGGTCCCACGCCGGCGATCGCGGTTGGGGGGACTCCCAGGGAGCCCCCCGCGGCACATCCGTCCTCGTTGAAGCCCCCCGGCCATGTGAGAGTGGGGTCCTAGCGAGGACCCCACAATCACATGGCCGGGTATAGCTGGCTTCTGTATTGCCGGCAGGGGGGCTGCCTGTAATGACAGGTGGTCCCCCTGCTGGCTGAAAATAAAAGTAAAATAAGTTAATGGTGTAAAAAAAAATTATTATATATACTTAGATCATATATATATATTATATATATATGATCTAAGTATATATATATACACATATACATACACACACATACACCGTCTAGGTGTATTTTACTATTAATATATATATAATTATATATATATATATATAATATATAAATTACACGTAGACTGATACTGATTAAATATATATATAATTATTGTTATATATATATTTATATATAATATAAAAAAAATAAAAATGTAAATACGTTAAAAAATAAAATTAAAAAAATAATTAAAAATAAATAATTAAAAAATATATAGATGTGTGTTATTTCGTTCTAACTGTTTTGTGAAATTAATATATATATATATATATATATATATATATATATATATATCAAAATACACGTAGAACGAAATAATATATATATCTATCTACATAAATATATACGTATATATCACTATATATATATATATATATAAATAAAAATATTTAAAAAAATTATATAGATATATACATATATATACACAATACGTATATATATACATATATTAATTCTACATATATATTTATGTAATATTTTTACATAATTAGGTATCTTAATTAATTACAATTAGCAGGACCTGCCTGACAACCCATGCGAAAGTAAAGGGAATTTAATTTGTAGCACTATATTTAACCCTATAACTTTCCAGACACCATAAAACCTGTACATGGGGGTACTGTTCTACTCGGGAGACTTCGCTGAACACAAATATTAGTGTTTCAAAACAGTAAAATGTATTACAACGATGATATCGCCAGTAAAAGTGACGTTTTTTGCATTTTTCACGCACAAACAGCACTTACACGGACAATATTATTGCTGTGATACTTTTTACTGTTTTGAAACACAAATATTTGTGTTCAGCGAAGTCTCCCGAGTACAACGGTACCCCTCATGTACAGGTTTTATGGTGTTTTCAAAAGTTACAGCGTCAAATATAAGGCTTGCGTTTCATTTTTTTCACATTAAAATTCGCCAGATTGGTTACGTTGCCTTTGAGACCCTATGGTAGCCCAAGAATGAAAATTACCCCTATGATGGCATACCATTTGCAATAGTAGACAACCCAAGGTATTGCAAACAGGGTATGTCCAGTCTTTTTTAGTAGCCACTTAGTCACAAACACTGGCCAAAATTGGCGTTTTTTGCATTTTTCACACAAACAAATACTAACGCTAACTTTGGCCAGTGTTTGTGACCAAATGGCTACTAAAAAAGACTGGACATACCCCATTTGCAATACCTTGGGTTGTCTACTATTGCAAATGGTATGCCATTATGGGTGTAAATTTCATTCCGGGCTACTATACAGTCTCAAAGGCAACGTAACCAATCTGGCGAATTTCAATTTCAAATGTAACGTGCTATATTTGACCCTGTAACTTCCCAAAACGCCATAAAACCTGTACATAGGGGGTACTGTCTTACACGTGAGACTTTACTAAATACAAATATGTGTATTTTATTGCAGTAAAATCAAACAGTATTATGACACTGACCTTTAAAATGCAATTTAGAACTAAAAAAATCAAAAAAATCGTATTTTCTCCCATTTTTTTCATATTAAATTATGTTTCATAGCTAAATATTTGATAAATTAAATTTGAAATAAATGAAAGCCCTGTTTCCCCTGAATAAAATGATATATAATAAGGGTGGGTGCATTTACTATGAAAGAGGTGTATTACGGTTGGACAGACATGTAGCGCAAATGCCAGGTTTTGTTTACATTTTGTTTTGTTCACAATGTGTACATTTGGCTCCGTCCTTAAGGGGTTAAACTTGCCTTCTCATTTACTCTATATTTAATAAAATAAATTTTAAAAAAAAGTGCAGTACCCTAAACATTTACTGTTACATATCTACTTTATTCATCTCAAATACACTCTTGTAAAATGTCTCTGCAAGCTTGTAAGTTTAAATCTGCACTGCAAAAAAAAACAAAAAAAAAAACAACAACAACAAAAAAAAAACAATTAGGAAAACTTTTGTTTGAAGCAATGGATGCATAGCGTGCATATAAATATGCATAACGGGGGGCCTGACAGCAGAGCCGAGCAGACGTGCTTGTCTGAGGCTCCAGCATTACTAAGCCCAATCGGTTGCAATCCACACTGACAGAGGCCAGAACCGAACTTAATCTGTAACCCAAACGACAGAGGACCGGGGGAGCTATAAGGAGATACCAAATATGTGGTGCAACTCACCGGACCCACGAACTCAGAAGCCGCGGCCTACGAGTATGGATGGTGCAAGGGAGACGGCCGCTCCCCGACCAACATACTCAGCTGGACACGCCACTTTGGAACCCCTCTCCCCCCCATGGACCGGCAGGGGTCATCCCGGTCCCCATCGACCCAGAGCACATGGCTACACCGCGTTGTCACCCGCCCAAGTGCCGATGGAAACGGCACCTGGACAAACAAAATGGTAGCCGCGTCTTGGTCAGCGCCTCCTCATCGAGGATACAACTATGTGGAAGAAGCGCACAAATGCCTGGACAGGATATTTGCCAACTTCTGGGTCAAACTTTACCAGCGTCTGGCACAACCGTCATCCCCAGCAACGCGCGAGGTAAAGAAGCGGGACAGCAACAAATCAAGAGCACACCTCACCCACGGGCCCCTGCTACTCGGGCAGATGGCCAGCTCGGACTCACGAGAGGCAGAGGACTCAACCTGAAGCACCGCACAAGCCGCAAATGAACACTTCGCCATCAGCGCACAAAGGATGTCACCGGCAGGCACAATGGGGGGAGCCCCGAGCGGCAAAGCAAAGATCATCACCGTGGCCGAAGCGCCTACCCCCTGCAGCTGCTCCGAGGGTACACCCGAGTCTACCACATCGAGAAGCTGGGAATCAGCAGAGACCTCTGCGACTGCACGGCACAAGAAACAGGCAGCACAACAAGGTGCGAAATACCTCCACTACCCACTGTTCAAGCGGACTCTCTATCCTGCAGAGCCGAGGTATGCAATCACTAGACCCACTCCCCCTAAGGGCTACATTGGCCCAAACAAGGGCCACAACACTTCAGCCTGCAGCACATAATCTGGCTACGGGACTTTGTATACCCTCGGGCAGGTGTCGGCTAAAATGTCCCAACCGCAAGGACTCAAGGGCCACCCACCCCACCCACGGTCAACCAAGGGATATGGCGTGCAATTCCCACAAAATTAACGCTATCCTGCTTCTTACCATTTGATGTCTCTTTGTAAGTTACTAAAGTTCAGTTTACTTAGTTGACGCCAGTGTGTTTTTATCACAACACTTAATGTACCCCCAGTCCCATGCTCTTTATCCCCCAACACTACACTATATGACACTGCACCCTTGGCGTTGTTTAACATAGATATAAGGTACACTACCACCATGTCTATAACACATGTGCATGTTAAAATCTCTCTAACGCATTACAGTACCTGCAGACCACATAGAAGCACATAGCCTGGGACTAAATCCGAAGCTCAGACACCTCACATAGCGAGCTAATCACCAGTTTTATGCAGGTCATGCCTTTTTGCTACAATTACTTGAGTTACTTGTGTTGTTTATGCAGTCAAGACCTGTAACCAAACAAATACAAACAGCGGGATTATCACTATATATAAAAATTGTGCTGAGACCATAATGCCACATATACGTCTGATTGTATTATCACTGTACTTGCACACACCATTGTGACAGTGTACGACGCATTGTTATTTCTTGCACAACGAAAAATAAAGTAAATTTCTTTTCCCAGAAGATTAGAGGCAGTGCTTTACAACTGGGATTTCATCACCTGGAGGGAAAAAACAGGCAGGCAATCTCCCAAACTTTTCCCCCAATTAACCTTTGGCTTTATAAATTGCTTCCTACCCAAGGCATCCCCAGAAATTACAAAAGCCGAATAACCGTACCACATTTTTTTTTTTGGGGGGTGGGGGGGAGTGAGCACTGCCTCTAATCTTCTGGAAAAAGAAATTTACGGTAAGTAAAAATTTTGTTTTTCCCTTCAGATTAGAGGCAGTGCTTTACAACTGGGATATCCAAAAGCAATCCCTTAGGGTGGGACTCAAATCTCACTGAAAAATAACGATAGATGGAAGATTGGGAAGAATTAAAGAATCCAACTTAACTCCACTTTCTCCTGCTGAAAATGGAAACTTTAAGAACTTGAAGTTCTTCCCATAATTATTTTGGGCGACTACCCCCAAAGACCTAGAGTGAAGACTCAAATCAGCAGAGTTAAAAACCCCAAAAGAAGATCCCCTGGGGAAAAGATTCCCTGAAGATAGGAACTAACCATGAAAGAGCCTAGCAGATACTGGTGATTTGGAGACAAACCTCTGAAAATCAACTGATAACCGAAATTTGACCTTGAGGATCTCTGGCTTTAAACCATCTGCAAAGCCCATCCAAAAAAAAAAAAAAAAAAGGAGGTTAAAAACTTGGAAGCGGATGCCTGCTATTCTTTGAACCAATATCTTAAAAAACAACACCACCTTCCATACTAGGAATAAATCTTGGAACAAGATCCATTTATAGTAAAAGAAATAGTCAATTTCCTGAGACAAAACATTATCCTTCAGTATCTGGTATAAATAAACCAGGTTGTCAGCTTGAATTACTACAAAGGTGAGAAGTACCACCTTGAGAATTCCAGGATGCCTATTTACAGGTAAGGTCCCCAAAGATTCCTCTGGATAATTTTAGATGAACGGTGAAACAGCTACTTGCCACCAAGGGAGGAAGACTATCATTCTCACCTTTTCCATCCTATAGGATCTTGGGGAATAGGGAACCAGGAGGAAACTATAGGTTAGACTGGAATTCCCAAGAAAGAAAAGGAAACCAAAGCTTACTGGTCTGTCCAATAAAACACTTCATGCTATCTCTTTGATCTAGAAGTCCCAGTTCCATAACTGGATAATCAAATTCTTCCTATCGTTTGGGTGAAGATCAGGGAGTACGAACCAATCTGCTTTGTATTAAATGTTGACTACTCAATGCTACAGCTAAAAAGGAATATTAAGTTCTATGCATAAGTGAATAGACCTAAGAAAAACTAACCCAAGCATATCCTGGAACAAGATTTTTCAAACAAGAAGACCACCTTGTTTGTACATAATTGCTACCGATGTAGAACTATCCAACCAGATCTGGACAAGATAATACCTGGTCTTTATCTGAAAGGCAAAGAGAGCTAGCCAGATAGCCTTCGGTCCTATGTAGTTGGATAAGTTTTTTCAAAACATCTCGGCTAATTTCCCTTCAACCCTATGAGAACCTAGCTGAGACCTGAAGCATCAGTTGTAAAATTCTGAACAATCGATTTGAGAACTAGAACAAAAAGTAAGAACCGTCTGGCATCCTTCATTTCTGCCTGGTTCAGAAAGGAATGACCGAAGTATAGGATTTTACTGCAAAATCCTATCAGCAACTGTATCTGGCCTCTGAAGGACCTGTAAACAGTACTATGCCTAAAGAAGCTGAAGAGACCAAGCAGGTTCTTACAAGATGGGAACCAAACTTATTTCAGGTGATAAGGACAGAGAGAACCACAAATTTTTTCTTCAGGGAATTACCATTCTTTGAGAGTCAAAAATGTTTACACCTGAACTGTTCCTTGACAAACACCAGAACTGCACACTTCTTGCAAAGAGATTTCTTAAAAGAAGATTGATTAGCATCCACCTGTATGCTGTAGAAAAACACCCTAACCTTTAGGGGCTGGTGTACAAAAATTAATTAGGTACCCCTGAGGAAGCAGTATTGTAGAGATTCAACAACGTTATGGATGGCAACATTTTGCATAGTGAGAGAATCTTAAGTGGCAATTGCCATAAGCTCTTTCTTAAAAGAAAAGGGCAAACAAACCTAGGCAGTAAACCATTCCTGTCATACCGTATCTATGGCAGTGCAGGGTACAAACTGAACTTGGTGGAACTACACCTTGATCAATAGGCCTGCAGCTGTACTAGAACTTGCTTCAAGACCAGTAACATGAGGAAGAAATAATTTTCCATGGAGACTAGTTCATACAGGTTACCATCTTTATTGGCGGAAGCGAGACTGATTACATAGATATACAGTCTGCATAAGACAATAGCCATAATCCAGGCCTTCCTTAGCCATAATTGGGAAGCAGAGGCAGGAGCAGAAAGAATTATATAGATATTAAAAAGTGGTAAGCAAAAATAAATAAACAGACAAAATCAATCGAGCTGTGGGTACATCTGGCTACCAGAGAATTATCCAGGAAAAGTGCTGACTCCTAGACTTGTAAACCATTGACCTGCAATGTATATTTAATGGGCATAAGTCTCCACCCACCCCAAATGAACAGATCACATTTATTGTCCCCTCCCCCTTCTCACTCCAATAAGGTTTTTGATTATGTTGTGCAGTGAGAATGTCAATTTGTATAATGTCTAGTCAGCTAAAAGTAAAGGTTTCAGCCACAGCTTTATCTGGAAGTAGACCTAATAGAGTTAGTCAATAAACTCCAAATTTTATCCAGATGGAAAACTGCCAAATTCCAACTGTAATGGCAATTCCTACATTTACTAAAGCCAAATCCACCTCCTGAGCAAATCTTCACCATTCAGCTGGATGAATCTGACATCTGGTTTTAAATGAGTACAAATTATACAAAAACTACAGGATCCAGAACATTTACAAAGCACTGATTTTAAACAAAATTGGGACCGGATGTGATATTATGTACATTTGCAGATTATTGTGCATGTGTGCTAGCAACTAGCAGGTAAATAGTGAAAGAAAAATAAAATAAAATAAATTCTTGGGAGAGCAAATGTTAACCATTTGGAGAACCCACCCTTTAAAAAAACAAACAAACAAACAAAAAACAAAAACAAACTACAAACAACCAGCCAATGACCCCTATAACTATAGGAAGATTAATCATCTGTAATATACCTCCAGCCACTATGCCAAAAGTGGGGGTCATGGCTACTTAACGGTTAGTATCCTAGCCCTGCTGGGATTAAAATAAGTGACAGGGCAGCTACTGGTCAGGGGAAGGAAGGACCCTCGCAGTTATGGAAAAAATGTGATTTGTACACGTTTTGAACTTGTTTGTGTTCCTGATACTATAGAGAGTTTCTTTAATAATGTTGCTATTATCTGAAAATGTAGCCCTGGTGAGTAGAGATTCACCCTTGGTGAGTGTAGTAGCTAGTAGCACAGGACTTAAAATTTTAGGCCACATATATTATGGTGTATTTTGCGACAGGAACGAAAAAAAATATATTAACATACCATCTCGAGTTCTTGATTAAAATCTTCACTCTCTACTTGCTTGATAAGGGGCTTCAGCTTCTCCTTCAGGCGTTTCCCATCCTTAGCTGGAAGGATGAAACGCAATCTCATTTGCGCTCTCTCAATCTGCATGGTCTCTTTTAGCTGTTTGATAACATCCAATGCCTGCGATATACATTTAGGTATTAATGAAAGGTATACGATATATGTGGTTATAAGAATGCTTGTTTTTTCAAAAACTGTAGCAGATGACACAATTACACAGTTATGTATTTTTTCTGCACTTGGCAAAAAATAAAAACATGGTGTCTACAGGCATTTGCATAGAAAAACATCCTACATACCAGATGCTTATTAGGGGGAGGCTGTAGCCTGTGTATCATTTTGGACATGGCTGCTACAGGTGCAAATACCCTGTTGTAAACACACCAACAAAATGGAGCTCCTAAAAAAGAGCTACATTAGGATTACAAAGAGTAAGAGAAGAACTAGTAAAGTCTCAAATGTACAGGGTACAAAATTTCCAGGATTTCAATCTTGATGAAATGTGTTAGCCTCTTCCCTACTCCTTAAAGGACCACTCTAGGCACCCAGACCACTTCAGCTTAATGAAGTGGTCTGGGTGCCAGGTCCTTCTAGGGTTAACCCATCTTTTTTTTTTATAAACATAGCAGTTTCAGAGAAACTGCTATGTTTATGAATGGGTTAAGCCTTCCCCCTAATCCTCTAGTGGCTGTGAGAGCTCTCACAGTGAGAGCACGCAAGCGTCCATAGGAAAGCATTGTAAATGCTTTCCTATGCGACGGGCTGAATACGCGCGCAGCTCTTGCCGCGCGTGCGCATTCAGCCCAGGAGGAGGAACGGAGGAGGAGAGAAGGAGAGCTCTCCGCCCAGCGCTGGAAAAAGTACGTTTTTAACCCTCAGGGCACTATAGTGCCAAGAAAACAAGTATGTTTTCCTGGCACTATAGTGGTCCTTTAAGGGGACATTAGTCACCAGAACAACTACAGGTTGATGTAGTTGCTCTGGTGAGTATAGTATGTCCCTGCATGCTATTTGCTATAAACAGTGCCTTTTACATGGCTGCCTAGGGACACTTCCTTAGAAAAGCATTGGATTGACTGGGATCATCAATTATGATGAACTCAGGCAAGGATACAGATCGGGGGCGAGGCCAGCAGTGGTGGACCCACACGACACTAAAAAAAGTTTTAACAATTTCTAAGGGGGGCAAGGAGGTGGTCAGAAGCTTAAACTCAATTTTTAACACTATAGGGTTAGGAATACAGTTTTGTATTACTGACCCTATAGTGTTCCTTTAAAGTAACACAATGGTGTTAGGAATACAAACAGGTAAGCATAACGCTATAGTTTTCCCGTGCCTCCGAGGGTTGAACGTTGAGAATTACTAACCTTTCTTCCCTCACCTCGGTTGCCCTGCCCCTATGGTTCAGGTCATCAAAATGTATGATCTCAGCCAAACCAAAGCACTGCCAGTGTGCATATGTGGCAAATCAATGCCCTATGCTTAATAGCTGCCAGGAACACAGTCACTAGAGGTGTGTTTAAAGGGATACTATAGTGCCAGGAAAACAAAGCTGTGGTGCCTTCAGTAGTTCTTTAAAATTCCACAGCTAATAACTCAGAGGAAAGAAAGGTTTTTACCAACAATATTGGTCAATATTCCCTCACAGCTGTGAAAAAACATCTCTGTGCATCACATTAACCACGTGAAGAAGAATCAGGACTTACTCAGTAGGGATGGAGGAACAGAGATAGAGTAGAAGATCAGATTGAACATAAATGCAATATAACCAGTTTATGTGTGATGTGGATGGGGCTTCTGAGTGTATTGGGCACGGTTTGTCTGCAAAACATATTTCCACCTTTCATTTTAACTATATGCAAAATTCTAAAATGCATCTACAGGTTTCAAAATTTAAAGTAAGAGGAACTTAATCATCATGTATTTATAGTTTTAACTGGTGGTGCCCATCTCTATTATTAAATGACATTTTGGATGACCACATACATCAGCCATGCAATTACGATTATAATCTGTTGCATTCAAGCAGCAGTGATGATCAATAGCACACCTGCCTGGTTGAGATTACATTTTTTGTCAGGGCTGAAGTTCTAAAGTATACATTTTTAGCATATGCATATATATTTTTGGACACTTATCATATTAGGTTTTTTTTGTATCTCAACTCAAGCCCTTGTTTCACTGTAAAAATAACATGTAAAAACAGGTACAAGTTCAATGGAAACACAAGGCAAGAAATACTAGTGAAAGGGTGGGTTTAATAAGATAGTTGAAGGCAATAAAGTATAACCTTTATTAAGTTGCATATCCAAAAACGAATACAAAACTGCTTTATTGTCTAATAAAAATGTGTAGATGGCTTTGAACATACAATTCAATATAGTGGCTAAGATTTAAATTCTGATTTTAAGGCCACTTAGGTTCCTTTCTGGAGCAATAAACACGCATGTCTTTAAAGTTGTTAATAAAGGTTATTGTAGAAAGTTTCTTCTTTACAAAACCATTAACAAATAAAAGGTATGTACATAAATGTAATTGTAACAAATACACCAAGCAAGCCAGAAAACACTTTCACGTTACCTGCTGTTTGGTGCTTTTCGTAGCTTTTACAGAGTAGTGAATATCTTTCATAGCACGCTCAATGAGATTGACTGTATAAGGTCTTTTCGTCTCTGGATTGACACATTTGTCTGCCACTATCGTTGCAATGTCTCGAAACATTTGTTCTAATTGCGTACTTCTTTCCTTTTCAGACACTTGTAGCTCCCCCTTGGCTAAAATCTATTGAAAAGCAAAATTATACTGGTTTGCAGGTTGAAAGACAATGAAAAAATAAATATATTTTATTGATAAAACTTTATTTGAATGTGGGGTTTCAACTATGATGAGGTGTAAATTCAGATAAACAGAACATCATTGTGAAATTACAGGCAGTAGACCAGAGACTAATCACCTGCCTATCTGTGTATGCAGGAAATAGCAGTATAAGTCCCATATAAACAACTTATTAAAAATTAACTTTTGGATGAGGTCATCCACAAATCAAGTAGAGGATGCAGCCTGTTTCACTAAGGTATCTGCATTGTGCAGGCAAAATAAAAAAATGAATCCCCGGCAAATGACTGAATAAGTATATGATAATACACACATTCCTTTAACCCTGACATAAGCTTCTGTTAAAGAAGGAGTGTGGTTGATGTAAAGGCCTAAAAAACAGGACCCTCTCTAGTTTGGTGACAGATACTTTTAACTGCTATATCATCTTTTTACCTGCTTGCAGATTTCGGTCTGTTCTTCAATACCAAATGCTTTGAGAAGATCTTCTTTCTTAGCAACCTGTCCTTTAGACACATTTGTAAACACAGAGTGGGTTTGAAGAACTTCATCGAGATCTTTTTCTCTGTAACACAAGCAATTACCACAGTCAACAACTCTACATAATTCCAATTGAAAGATTAAAAGACTGCAAAGATGAACAGCAAAAACCTTGATTATAAACTCTGATTTAACTACAACTTACCATCCAATACCAGTGGGGCACAACCCCTCCCACCCTTCAAATAAAAGAATTTGAAAATAATCGACCTACTATCAATGAAGGATGTTTAGCTACAGGAACAAACCAAGCATCATAACCATGACAACACACTGTAGTGGCAGGAGTGCAGTGGCACCCTCCATTTTAAGTAGCTAGCCCATTTCAGAACAATTTTACTTCTTACATGAGGTCCGCCAGGAACCACTCCCCACCTCTACTACAGCTGACAGTTCTCAACTACAGACATAAGTAGTCTGTTCGAGCTATGCTCAATGGAGCAGGGCTTAATTCTTTGGCTGACAACATTCAGCAGATACTTTCAATGAGCAAGGAGACTCAAATGAAGCTCCTAAACTGGTCCTTTCTGCTATCTGTTGGCTGTAGTGTAGACAGGGACCAGCAAATGGCATAAGGTGGAAAGAAGCCAAACTGTTGTAAGACAGTTGGACTACTTACAGGGGGCAAGAGGCAACAGAACTACTAAAAATATTTTTCTTTAATGGTTGTGGTGCTTGGAATGTTACTTTAAGTGAAAACCCTTCATTGTCAATACATAAATCATATAGAAAACATGCTAGTTTTATTTACATTGTTTTGGCATCTGAGTGGGGTAAAAAAAAAAAAAAATGATGTCAATCTGTTCCTATACTCCTCTAGTAAGTGCTGTAGTTGGTGTACTGTAGAGTAGAACAACCACTTCTACTTAATTTTGCCTGCTCTCCTTTGTCAACACGAGACCGGTTTAAAGGTTGAACTGTGACTTGGCTGACAGCTGATGGAGAGGGGCTTATTTCTAAATTAAATTTCCATTTTTTTTAGAATATTATTGCTACATAGAATGTATGCTGTATACATTGCTGGTCAAGCGTGCTCCCCATGACAGGTACAATAGCATTCTATCTATTTGGCTTTACTTGAGGACATGCCAAAAATCAGGCCCCTGCTTGCTGCAAGTCTTTTTGCTCTGCATTACTCCGTACAGGAGCCGAGAGAGTGTATACACACACACAGAGCTACTGATGGATACTACATCAGCTGCACGTGTTCAGTTTGTCACTAGACAACTTATTATGCGTTCCAAGCCTCCATGCTGACTCCTGGCCCACACACAGCTGGCTGTAAGCGAGGCCCTGATTGGCTGACAACTGGAGCTCGGCACTCGCACCCTATCAGTCCTGCTGCCAGTAACACGGTGAACGGCCGCTAGCCAACACTTACGCCCCGCTTCTCCAACTGATCACTTTATTCTTGTAACAGGCGATCTCAAATCGCTTCCCCCCTTTTTTCATCCGCACAACCGCCACGTTGGTCAGGCGGATCTGGTTGGTGGGAGTAAAGATCGCCATGTCTGCTGTCACCGACCGTAAACGGAAAGCGACAGCTCGCGCGCACACACAAACACACTACACGTGACAGCTCGCGACTAAATCTGCAAGAGCATGCGCACTGTCTCTACTCTGCTAGCTGCGTATGTGTGTACATTGCCCTGTGTTTACTACTATCAATAAAGTTGTTTATTAAAAAAAAAAAAAAAGATAAACGTGGAAGGAGTGGGATACGTAAAGAAACAAAGATGGCGCCCCCCTGCGAAGCATACATTTGAGTGATACATGCAGAAATCTAAAAGTTATTCCCCCCCCCCCTTTAAACATTTATTTTACGCTGGTGGCAGCAGTAGCAGCAGAAGCGGCCGCTCAGGAGGATGTCTGCCATGCTGCACATTCTATGTTTGTGTTTCATGCAGCTGGTGTGCGTGTCGGCAGAGCATGTGGACGGTATGTGTCCTAATACCGCGAGGGCACTGTGTGTGTATCAACCATAGCTGTCAGCTCAGGGAGGAGAGAGAGAGAGAGAGAGAGAGAGATATAATGTGTTTAGCGTTAGAAATCACACTCCACCTTATATTAGTAGTATTTAGAAGAAAATGTAAAATATCCCATTTTAAAATGTGTTTTGGGGCATATAATCCAGTGGTGCACGGAAATACAGAATTTATTATTGTAGGTTGTAACTCTGGCCAGCCTAAAATGTAGGAAACATGTTCACGCTGTCACTCAAATATGTACTTACTGTACTGTTAATCCCTTAAGGACTGAGCCAAATGTACACGTTTCGATCAAAATAAAACGTAAAACAAAACTTTAATTTGCGCTATATGTCTGTTCAACTGTAATTCACCTCTTTCATATTATGTGCACCCACACTACTTATATATAATTTTATTCAAGAGAAGTAGGGCTTTCATTTAACATCAAATATTTAGTTATTAAACATAATTTAATATGAATAAAATATAAAAAAAAAGTGAGAAATTAAGAAATGTTATGATTTTTTTTTCTGCATGACAGTTTAATTGTGAATGTCATAATACTGTTTGCTTTTACTGCAATAAAATACACATATTTGTATTCAGCGACGTCTCACGTGTAAAACAGTACCCCCTATGTACAGGTTTTATGTTGTTTTGGGAAGTTACAGGGTCAAATATAAGAATATCACTTTTTTCACATTGAAATTAGCAAGATAAGTTACGTTGCCTTTGAGACCATATGGTAGCCCAGGAATGAGAATTCTCATTCCTGGGCTACCATACGGTCACAAAGGCAATGTAACCAAAAAAAAATCTGGCGATTTTTAAATGGTAAAAAACTTAAACACAAGCCTTACATTTGACTGTAAACTTTGAAAACAGCATAAAACCTGTACATGGGGGAGGGTACTGTTATACTCGGGAGACTAAACTGAACACAAATATTAGTATTTCAAAACTGTAAACTGTATCGCAACAATTGTGTGTGAAAAATGCAAAAAACATCACTTTCACTGATGATAGCCAATATTTAGATAAACTGAGGACCCTGTTATGCACACGTATAATTTTGTTGTTTTTCAGGTGATTCCACTGGCACATTGGATTATTTCTACACACATTTGAAGCGGTTATGGCTAAACCGTTTTTACATTTATTCTTGTGCTGCATTTGGCGTCACCATCTGGATCTGCAGTCACTTCATCAGCTTGAAAACAAAGGTTTGTGATGACATTTCTAAACTCTAGAAGCCAGACTAAAATATTTAAGAGAGATGTTTTACATTTTTAAGTATATTTGCTTTTATGTTTGTGTATCAGCTGCATATCTCAATTTGGACTTTGAGAGTTCCTTCTTGGGAATAGAAACCCGAGAAATCATGTTTCCACAACTATCCCAGAGTTCCCAGCTTGACATGCAAATAAACACAGACCGACATTGGTTTTCTAGATTGTATACACTTCTATAAATACCCTTCGTAATGGACACTGTTCAAAACTCAGCTTTTTAATTTTGTAAAATTGTATTTATTATACAAGGCCAGTCACGGTGGATTTAGAGTATAGGGCTGGCCATTACTAATTAAAATAAAGAGACACTCACCTCTCATCTAGTGAAATCCTGGTCTCGCTGCAACCTCTAATTGACCATCTTTGAAGATCATCACTAGAATGGTCTCATCCTATTCAATGATTCCCAACAGGGAAGCACTGAGAGCTATCTGTGCATGTCTGGCTATTACTATTCTCCTACAAGAGAAGCATCCTAATGTGGAGAGATTTAACTGTTTGGTGATGTCATTACACTGGACATGAATACCTTCAAAAAACAAGGATGCTGTAGGAGGAATTGCCTTTAGGGGCTATCTGATTGTAGGTGCTTTGAATTAAGCTGTAAGGTTCTGGTGCTTAGTATTTCTCCATAACGCTTTATTGACTTGGGATGTCATACAAGTTTAAAAAAAAAAAAAAAAAAAGATCATTGCAATCAGGTGATTTCATCATTGATCCCTACTCGAGAATTCCAGAAAAGATTCTAATGGTCCATTTGCTTTCTCACACATGCTGAATCATATGATCAATGCAGGGCTTTGCTTGTAGTCCTTTTTCATCACACTGTGTGGTGTGGCAGGTAAATCACAGAAAGTGATACTGAGACACCCTGTTAAAATATGATTCATCAGCAGAGATCAAGATATACACTGTTGTGTTGCCATCAAACAAAGCAGAACAGCTACTCAAAGTAAATATACACGCAGTATTTAACTCTGCATTAGCTATTTGTGCAAAGCATTGCATTGTTGTGAAATGCGGACTCTTTTTTACAAGCTATGTGTTTTTTTTTGTTTTTTTGTTATGTACAGGATGAACAGTATATTACGCAGAATGGTTCTACACCTGTGCACAGTGAAAAACAGACAAATGATAGTTCATCTGCATCAACCGAGCAGGAAGTCCATGTTTCTGGTGTGAAGATTTTCTATGGCTCTCAGACAGGCACAGCCAAGGTACTGCAACTTCTAGATATAGTGTGTATGTGTGTATGAGTGCAGTGTGTGTGTGTGTATGAATGCAGAGTGTGTTTGTGTATGTGATGCAGAGCCTTGGTGGGGGGTGGGCATTTTCATTTTTTTTCCCATTATTATTTTAATATTTTTTTGTTTTGTTATATTAATATATTTATTTTATTTTTATTTTTTAACATTATTTATATTTTTATTTTAATATTTAATTTTTTATTTATTTTTGTCCCCCCTCCCTGCTTGTTAGCTGGCCAGGGAGGGGGGCACTCATTCCCTGGTGGTCCAGTGGATGGGCTGTGTAGGAGGGGGGCTGGCAGCGAGCTGTAACTTACCTTTCCTGCAGCTGCTGTCAGCTCCCTTCTCTCTCCTCTGGTCCGTCAGCTCCCCTGTCAGCTCCCGCTGCAAGTCTTGTGGTCTGAGTGCCGCATGAAGCGTTGCCACGGTAACCCGTGGCAACGCTCTGACCCCGCGGCTCTCGCGAGACTTACAGGGGAGCTGACTTGACCTGAGGAGAGAGAAGGGAGCTGACAGGAGCTGCAGGAAAGGTAAGTTACAGCTCGCTGCCAGCCCCCAACAGGACCGCCGGGCTTGTAATGAGCCCGGCGGTCCTGGTCTGTATTATGGCATTGTAAGTTGTCATAATATAGACCTTGACTCGAGTATAGAGTGGGGGTTTTTCAGCACAAAACATGTGCTGAAAAACTCGACTTATACGGTATATGCTTATTGTTTTGTTTTCTATCTGTTTAGATAAAACTCTTAATGGTCTATGTACAGGTCCTCAGATGTTTCTTGGTGTTAAGGCATAAAAATAATGTTTTTAAGGTTGTCTGCTTATGCATTTTAAAATGTTTACATCAGATATACATTACACTTGGTAATAACATATCTGGCATGAAGCACACTTTAGTGGGAACAACTTTACTAAGGCCTATTTACATTTGTGCTTTATTTTACATTTTATAGATCCTCAAGGCACAGGGTGGGAATGTTTCGGGCCCTCTTAACCTTTCTATAACATAAATTTGCATGTAAAAAGCATTTCCCACTTCCACCTCCCACCGTGCACACACACGTAAAGCATAGATTAATTTTCTTTCATTTATTTTCATATATATATATATGTGAACGCTTGGCACACACCTCCAAAAAAATATACATTTTGAACTCACATGCCTGGGTGCAAATTGTTGGCGTCAAATATATAAACAAAAATAAAAATCAAAATGCACTCACAGGTCTTCTGGTTAATAGGAAAACTGGTGCTTTAATAAATCATCTGTGATGTACAAAAAAATCAATCGACGTTTCGACCCTGCCGGGTCTTTTTCAAGATCATATAATACATGACAAGAAAGTGTTTATATATAAAATACAAATCTAAGTGAATAAACACTTACCCAATGGTGAAGTGAGGAGGAGTGTGTCTGCCCGTTAGAACCCGGAAGTGAATGGAAGCTGCACACAACGTCACGTGATCAGGGCGTCGTACAGGGAAAAAGTGGTTGCCAAGGCAACAATACACAAAGTAGAAAAATCCTATGCCGGGAGCAAGTAGATCAGTGTGAAGCAAGGAGTGGGTAGTGTAAACTACCAATACAAAGTGAATGATACAAAAGTCAGGAGAATCGAGTACATAAGCAGCAAGTGCTGTGCAGTGTCATGTGAAAACCTGAGTGATAAACGTGTGAGCACACAACAAACAAATATAATAAACTGTGAAAAACGAATACCTGACATCATAAATAAAATCAAAGCAAAAGAGCAGAGTATATACAAAAATACTGTATACAAAATTATACAATTATCTTATAAATAATATCCACTAAAGTGTATAATATGCAAAATTAGTAATATAATAATTTGATGCTAGACAATATGACATAAACACCAAGTGACACACGGGCTTTTTATAATGAAAAAACATCTAAACTAAATATATAGCCTAGAAACCTACGAGGGAGGCTGAGAAAACCTAAAGAATAAAGAATCAGCTGCATCTTAAGTAAGTGGACTCATTATTTTTCCTGAACCACCAATACTTGCAATAATTTGTTCTTATCCAATTTTTTATTTTCTAGAAAAATATTTTTATACTGTTTTTATATATTGTAATAAATTCCCTTATTTTATACTATCCACTGTATCCAGCACCAGTGATTCCA